GTCTATTCTTTTTTGGAGACAGGGTCTCCACATAGCCCTTGCTGTCCTGGAACTCACTATGAAGATTAGGCTACCCTCAAACTCACAGAGATCCACCTGCCTCAGCCTCCCAAGAGCTGGGATTAAAGGCCTGCATTGCTATGCCTGGCTATGTGTCTATTCTTTGATCAAAGCCACGTGGTCCTGATTCCTATGAGCTTGGAGTCTTAAAATTAGCTAGTGTGAGCCTTCCTCCTCCTCATCAAAATTATTTTAGCTATTCTAATGCCTTTGTGTTTCTACTTGAATTTTCAACCAAGACTCCTAACATCTAAACATAAAATTAACTTTGCTGAGGCCGACACCCCAGCTGCACTGAGCCTTCCAACCCGGGCGCTCGGGATGTCTCCCGCTTCTGTGACTTTCTTCTTTGGAATTTTACAGCTGCCGGCATAGATTCCTGCACCTTGGCCGCCATAAGCTGTACATCAGGTTTCTGCTGCAGCTGTCAAGTGCCACTCTCCCATTTAAATATCTAATGATTTGTGCCCAGTCTAAAGAAACACACTGACGGTGCAGACCTTGCACCCTGTCCTTTCCAGACGTAGTAACTCCAGGAGACCTTCTTCTCTGGAGTCCGCGGGGTTTCACACACTGACCATCTGTCACCTGTGGACACCATACACTCTCTTCTTCCTAATCTGTCTGCTCCTCCCTTGTTTTGCCCAGGACTTCAGCACAATACTGGGGAGTTGTGAAGACGACCTTGATGTTGATCTTAGAGGGGTGAAGTCCGTCTTTCCCTCCATCTGAGGATGGCAGGTGCAGGGTTATGTGGACATTCTTACTAGGTCAGGAAAGTTCCTTCTTTTTGTTATGGGTGGTGTGGTAGGGCTCCCCAGAGGGATGGAATGGGTAGGGTGATGTATGTACATGTACACACACACACACACACACACACACACACACACACACACACACACACACACACTTATTAAATCAGATCACTTGCAAATAGCAACAGCAGCTGCCTAACGCCCCAGGGTTGAGAACCTGCTAACTGCTGGGCGCCTCGGCAGTTCCAATCTGGTGCCAACAACCTGGAGGGTTCCTGGAGAGTCCCTGTCCCCAGTGATGGAAGCATGGAGATGCTTCTGGTAGCAGAGATGGACTCAGCAGCAGCAGCAGCAACAGCGCAGATTAACCCGGTGGAGGGTGGGAAGGCCCGGGAGCAAAGGGCCAGGATCTGGCTTTCTGCCCTGCCCTTTTTACTGGGGTGCTACCAGACCGTTCCGCCCACATTTGGGGTGGGTCTCCCCGAATCAATTGAGGCAGTTCCTCGGGTGAGGGTCCCTACTCAGGTGACTCTAGTTTGCAGTAAACTGACACTGAAATCAACCCAGGCCGATACAACTGGGTTTTGTTACGTGTTCTCATCCATGAGGCAATTCCGGGGCCTTGTCTTCATTGTGTGAACATGGGAAGCAAGCTGAACCCACCTTGCTCTCCGAGGCCCTGGCTTTGGCACCCAACCACAAGCAAGCACCCACAAAGTGGCAGGCAGGGACAGACGTTTTCAGAGTGAGGCCGTGTAGGAGCCTGGCCAGCTTCCTGTGGCTCCAAAGCCGGGGAAGGCCTGTGCGCCGCGTCACATGACACCTTGATTTTTGCTCCGTGAGAACTGGGTCAGACTCACAACCTATGAAACTGCAAGAAAGTAGATGTGGACGTTCACAGCCCGGGTTCATGGAGATTTCTTGCAGAGCAATGATGGAAAGCGGCACAGTGAGCCCATGCTTTGGAGGAACGTGCGGCTGTTTCCTCCAAGCTGGGAAATGGGCTGGACAGCGTGTTTATTTAGAGTTCTGGGTGGTTCATCTGCTTCTCCCCTTCACTGCTGTGGATTCACAGTGATGGCCCCTTTCATCTCTAATATTGGTGATTTGTGGCTCCTGTCTTCCACAGAACCATTTCTTAGTTTCATTCACCTTTCTCTATACTGTTTTGTTTTCAGTTTTATTGGCTTCTTTTTCTTTCTTTTGGGTTTTTGCTTGTTTTTTACTAATTTACAAAATTACCATTGACTTTTTACTTTGTTATTGAACCATAGGTTATAACCATTGAATTAGTTAATTAATTAGGGTTTTACTTTGTTTTATTTGAGGCAGGGTTTCTCTGTTGTGTATTCCTGGCTGTTTGGAACTCACTCTGTAGACCAGGCTGGCCTCGAACTCACGGAGATGCACCTGCCTCTGCTCGCCTGCCTCTCCCGCAGAGAGCTGGGATTAAAGGTGTGCATCAGCACCGGCTAGCATCATTTAATTTATACCAGGCTGTTTTATCCCCAGCTAACGCATTTGTAACACATGTGGGTCCGGCCCTTCACCTCCTGACAGGGCTCGGCTCCCTGCAGATCTACTGAATCCGCCATGCTCATCTGCCTCCATCTTGCTCAGCACAGGCCCGTCCGTCCCACAGCGGTGAGCCAGAACCTGTGTGCAAGACCTGAATGAGCGAAGGGGGGCCTCAGCTAGGCTGCCCCCCACTGCGTCAGGAAGGCCTGCTCCATGGCGGGGAGACCGGGCACTGGGTCACCTGGTCCTTAGTGACCCACGTGACTGCCCCTGAGGCAACCAGGCTCTCTCACCACTTCCTCCAGCAACTGCAAGTGTGGGTTTCCCAAGTAAGCCCCCTACCTCCTCAGACTCAAGTCCTCTCTACCTTACCTGGGCTATTCAAGTCCCAGCTTGGGTACCATCGATGTCTGGGGGGCTTTCGATGACCAATGCATCTCAGGATCGGTCCACACAGTTTGGGTGAAAAAAAATGAGGAAGCAAGTGAATGGATACGGTGGAGTCACTCACGGCTCCAGGGGTCCCAGCCTGCGACAGAGGTGGAGCGGCACTCGGTGTAGGTGGTTGCAGCCTTGGTAAAATCCACTAGCCTTGAGTCCTGGCCATGCTCCCTGGCTACCAATCCCAGGATAGTGCTGAAAGGCAAGGCAAAGAGGGGGTCTTCTACAGACCCGAGAACCCAACCACTGCTGACCAGGGGAACAGGACCGGAGCCTACCCAGGAGAAGCCTGGGCCAGAACCCTGGCTCCCCACTCCAATCCGGGAGTCAGACCTGCGGGATGCCAAGCAGGCTACAAACTGAGCCCACCTCCGATGATGCCTTCGAGCCTAACTGGGTGGGGTGTGGAGGAATCCCCTGCCAGGCCTGTGGCTCACAGCCGAGACCTGGGCCCGGCCCTGACTGCAGTCCCCAGAAGCTATTTCCCTGCCCCCAGGAATCACTACCCCAGCTGCTTTGGAGGTACAGATGTGCTAATCTGTGCATCACACACGAGAGCAGAAGGGACAGTGGGGACCTAAATCAAGCCTTTAGTGGTGGCACTTGTTTCAGGGCGGGCGGAGTTCTCAAGGGCTCGGTGTGTATGCCATCCCACAGGGGCCTGGCTGGGCCTCCTTTACAGCTCCCTGCGTTCAGCCAGCCCTGTTCCAGCCTCCTGACGGTGCCCCTTTCTAAAATCCACTCACGGGCGCTCTGAGCACATCTCCAAAGTGTCTGTTGACCTGGCCCTGGCCAGGCTCCGGCACAGCCCTTCTGAACCACGCCCTGCTGGTGGCTAAGACAGCATCGCCCTTCTCCTGAGCCTGCTTCCTGGGACCACATGTCAGTCAGCGCAGGCAGCACATACAGGCTCCCCGAGTCTTTGTTTCTTCCTCTGGGAAATACAGCACCACAGCTGTGGGTCTTTAAGGCCAAAAGGCAGTGGTGTCCAGTGGCTGGCAGGCTGAATTCTGATGCCCACAGCAGCGGCTGTTTCTCTGATGACCAGCCATCACTGCTTCTTTGTGGCTAGTGTGGGCAGAGGAGGGCTGAGAGGAAGACACAGGAAGGGACTGCAAGGAACGAGACCACCACTTACCCCTTGTTTCTCTGGGTCTGTGAAGCTGAGCTTCCTAAACCAACAGTGACCTTCCCAACTTGCCTTCCTGGGGATGGAGGGCCTCAGGAGCCAGCAGGAGCCAGCCTTTGGTGCGTTGGGAAAGACTGAAAAACAAACTCACCAGAATCCAAATCAGGAAAGCCCAGAGCTGGGGTTGCCATGGCAACTTGCAGCAGGCTCCCAGCCCGGCACTCAGCCTCTCTGGGGCGGGGGTTGAGACTTGCCAGGCTGGGTTTGCCCCTCCTTAGACTTACCCTGGCCACTGGAGGGGTAAGGGCACAAGAGGGACACCTCCGCCCTCTTTAGCAGCCCAGCAGTTGTGGCTTGCCTGAGCATCTACTGTGAGCTGATGCGAGATTCCTTCTCTCCCAGATCAATACCCACATGCGAGGGCCACCCAGGAGCTTCCCACCAAGCGGGCTCAGCAGCATGGGCCCACTTGCTGCCCGGTCGATAGGGCAGGCCCACGTGCAGATGCTCTCAGGCCTCACCAGTGCCAGTAGCCTCTGGCCCACGTAAAAGTACGGTGAGATGATCCTCGAGGCCATCCTCATAGCTAGACTAGGGAAGGGACAAGCCTGAGGTCCAGTGCTGGCACAGTGCTTTCTGCACGTTCCCTGTTACTAATAGTGTTCTTTTTTGTTTTTTGTTTTTGTTTAGATTCATTTATTTATTTCTTATGTATACAGTATTCTGTCTATGTGTATGCCTGCAGGCCAGAAGAGGGCACCAGGTCTCACTACAGATGGTTGTGAGCCACCATGTGGTTGCTGGGAATTGAACTCGGGACCTCTGGAAGAGAGTCAGTGCTCTTAGCCTCTGAGCCATCTCTCCAGCCCCCTGGTATTGGTTCTTATCTCAGAGGTTAAATGACTTTCAAAGTGAAGTAGCCAGAGGTTGACAACTCTAGGACCAGGCCTCTTTTCAGAAGCCTGTTACTGGAAGCCCTGGGCTGACCAACACGTCACTGGGGCCCTCGCCAGTAGCTCATCCTCAGGCCTCCCAGGAACGGGGTGCCAGCCGGAGGGCTAAGCCTGGGGTGCACAGACGAGAGACAGACCACGGGCTTCATGTCTCTGTTTAATAACCATGCCAGCTCTGCCCAGATAGAGCTCGTGCCCAGCAGGAGCCCTCCTTCCTGGTTGATGCCCCCTGCGGAGCCCGCCCAGGCTCTCACTGGCACCAGCCCAGTCCACTCCTGGTGTCGGCGTGACAGCCTCAGCTCAGCTCCTTCAGCAAGCTGTTGATGGAGGCCAGCAGTTCCCGGAAGTAGCCCTCATCTTCGCCCTCCTGGAGTTCCAGGGAGGCCAGCGCTTGGTACTCGGCTTGGAGACTGCCCAGTGTCTGGCTGAGCTGGAGGTCTTGACGGTAGCGATCCCGGCAGGTGGCCAGGAGGGCGCCCAGCGTCTGCAGCACCTTCTCCCGAGCATCATGCTCTGGAAGTGCCAGGAGGTGGGCGGTGATCTCACACCAGCCTTGTTCCCGCAAGCCCGGCAGGAGGTGGACCTGGCGGTACTGCTGAAGCTTCTCTGGAGATGAGTCCTGGGTCAACTCGGCCTCCTCCTCAGCAAACATCTGCACAGCCAGGACCGGGGAGGGTGGAGAGAACACGGACAGCGGTCATCTTGCACTGGGCCAGCTCTTCCCATTAGGAGATGCTTAGCTACTTTCTATGTGACTCTGGGCTACCTGGGGCCTCCAGGGGGGCAGTCAACTGCACTCTTGGCTTTTCGCATGCTCCCTCAACCAAGTGTGTGTCCATCTGTCTGCCCACTCATCCATTCATCAAAGCCCCAGCACACAGTGTTGGGAGCTGGAGAAACCAAAATGGAGACGAGTCCCCGCTCCCAGCGTCCAGCAAGTGAATCAAAATTCCTACAGATGGCTGGAGAGAGGCCTTGGGGGTAAAGACACTAGCTCTGGAGCCTGGCAACGGGAGTTCAGTTCCCGGAACCACATAGAAGTGAATGTGAAAAAATGAACCCAACACGCACGTCATAGCATGGCACCTACATGTACACATTATTTACATGCACATATATGTACCACTACCCACACTATTAAACAACTCCTAAATAGCAGGAGTTTCTGTGCACCTCGGCCCAGTCCTGGGCTGGTGGACACCCAGGAAACCCTTGTGGAAGGAGCCACAGGTGGGGTCAGCTCCATGACCATCAACTCAGGCAGGCATACACCCACACAGAAGCCCAGACACCAAGGTGCTGCACTCGGGAGAGGCTCCCCAATGCTGAGGCAGAGGAGGAAAAACCTGGGCTAGCCGCTGAGCCACCCACGGCCTTGAGGTCTACATGGTAGTCCTTCCAAGCAAGTAGATGATGTCATTCTTAGGCCATTCTGGAATACCCACCCCATGTCTGGCTCCAATTCTTTCTTTCTTAGGGACTACATGAGGTTCTGAAGTCCCCTGGCTCAAAGTCACCACTGTCCTCCCTGGAGAAGAATAGCTGAATCCACAGCATTTACAGAGGAGACCCCAGAGGAAAGAGGTCTGTTCCTCCCTGGCAATGTCAATGTGCAAGTTCTCCTCTGGGCCTGCTGGCCCTCCTCAGGATGCAAATGAAAAGCCTTATACCTGGCTCTGAGCAGCACAGAACTAAGAAACTAGATTCCAGCAGCTTC